AAAAAAAGAAAGTTGATTGGGTTTTATTAGCTTTTTTGTTTTGACTAATAATGCTTTTATTTCTAATAGTTCTCTTTTCATAGATATTTTGATTCTGTAAAAACGAAACTGTTTTTAACCAAATCACATTTTCTCTGCACACTTTTACTTAGTAATAGTGAATTCCCTGGTAGAAAATTTTTTTTCTCCTAAGCAAGGTCCAATCTGTTGTTAATATCACCATGTCAACTAGAAGAAAAGGAACTTTAATATGAGTGTAAAGAGAAAACATTGGCATATGATTTCTTTTAAAGTCTCTGAAGTTCAACATTTAACTTCTATGTCAGAAATCAAACAAAAAATTTATCCATTTTTCCTCTATCTTTCATGTTGTATTTCAGTGTTTTAAAGAATATTCCGGGGTTTGAATAGGACGGTGTTATCCGTATAATCTAATCATTCTTTGGGAGGGGCATGGCTATTAGCTTGTCTATGCTAATTTGGAGTTGAGTAAGCTGGTGATTGAGTGTGTGTGTGTATGTGTTCATTTCTAATGGAGCCATTCTTCTTGCTCTCAGTCTTTAGTGAGCTGTCAGGTTGGTACTTAACTGCTTTGCTCTTTCGAGTTGCTCACAGGCTGGAAAGGAACGCTTTTAACAAGTTAGTATGGGGCTCTCCAGACCTCTCCTTAGCCGGCTTTATCTGCATCCGATATGCCGTTTTTGTAGCCCTGCAAGGAAAGGAGTTGAAGGAGTGAGAGAGAATGCCCGTGTGTGCATGAGTGTGTTCGAGTGTGTGCGTGTGCACGTGTGCACAGCAGTCTGTCAATGTGCATTATAAGGTTTCCCAAGCACATGGAATGAGATCTTTCCCAGGGAGACTCTTTTGTCAGGGTCAGCACACATGGGAAAAGCATTTCTGTGCTTAGCCTCGTAACTGAGATTGTTTTTTGTTTTATGGGGTCAGGAGGAATTTCAGTCATGAGACATGGTAGTGCTCTGCCTCTGCATTTACCTGCCCTTTCTTTTTGAACTCTCGCAGGTGGCAGTACCTGTCCAAAGATCACTATCATTCCACCCTTTTTGAAAAGCAGCACAACCACACTGATTGATCAGAATGTATCTGATGAAGAGGCTCAGGGAATAAATGGAAAAACGCCAGCAAAACACTCAGCTGCAAGTCCAAAGCCACAAGGTACGTTGATCGGGGGTTCTTGGCATAGGTTGGGTACTTTGTTCATCAGTGAAAGCAACCCAGAAGAATGGTGACCACTAAGGAAGAGTTTTAAGCTACAAATGGGAGGAATTGAGTGCATTTATTGTTTTCAGGAGAAAAGTCAGTCGGTGAACCCTCTCCGACAGAGTTGGGTATTTCCTCTGCTCCTAAAACACCTTATACATTTCTCTGTCATAGTTCTTTTCATGTTTCGGAAATAGTTTATGTGTCCCCTTTAAGGGACAGAGGTCTGTTCATGCATTATGCCTGACTTAGCACAGGGCCTAACTTACTGTTTGCGTAATACATGTGTGACAAAGGAATGTGTGTTTAGAAGTACTGTCAGCAGTTCTTACGACCTGCTAAATGTCAGAGGATCTGTGAAACAGATCATTCTAAAACAGTGCTTAACATACTGAGTAAGAAGGTGCTTTTACAATATTAAGGAGCTTGGGCTTGAAAAACCTTCTTAATAAAGTCATCCGTAGAAAATAAAAATAAATGGTTCAAGGAAGGAGTAGCCAGCAAGTAGTAAAACAATTATAATGGTGAATTTGTTCAGTACCATTTCTTTTTACAATAAATCTCTAACTGGATGTTAACTTTGAGAAGCACCAAATTATAATTTTGAAGATAGTAACGCCCTTTGAAATGTAATGTAAAGCTAAGCTCCATTATGGTTTAATGTTTCTTCCTAACAGATTTTTATTTATACTGAATGCTCAACATTCAGCCAAGAAACAAACTGGGCATTTGTAGAATTACTATACTTTGGAAAAATCAGTTTGTATTTGGTTTATTTTGTATTTACTTTGGTCTCTTTCCTGTTCTTGCAAAGAAAAAAAGTGTTATAGAGAATGCATTATAAAAGAGTTGGTGTTATTTTGAAAGATCTTCTGTTTTAAAGATTTCTGAAAGAGAATTTTTAAAAGGATTTAAAATTGAGTCTTCCACATTATGAGATATTTTTCTTTTGTTCTCACTACTAGGAGTATTGGTGATGGTATGAGTTATGGCAATACAGCAAGGAGAAAAAATTGGTGATTCAAATGAATAGTCTATTCATGTGTTTATAACCTTTTCCTTTGTCCATACTCATCCCTGTAACATTGATGTGAATACGAATGTAGCAATTTTTGATCATGATTTAATTAAGCCATTTATTTGCAAAGTACAAAATTCCATCTTGCTTATTAAACCTGAGCTGACAAAGATGAAACAGGGTAAGAATATAAAAAAAGAATATAAGTTAATTTTATGTAATTGCCCAGATCAAACGCAAGAATTTCATTATTTATAAAGCCTTTTTTTGGAAGCTTCATTGCATTACTTCATTGTTTTTCATAGTTCACTGAGATAAATTACAGAAGTGTCCTTCCTGAGCTGTGTGCTGAAATAATCATATTCTTTAGGGAAACAACATTTAACCTTGCTTTTGCTGTTTGTAGTTATATGAAAGTCAGTGTATTGCTACTTCAGTACATATTTACTTCCTATTTTGAGAGTGGATTCATGCATACAATGTTACATAACTACAAATATAGTGATACTTTTAAGTATGAAGAGTACACTCTAACATGATAAAAAGTATAGTACAGTAAATATATAAACTAATAACAGTTGTTTATTATCGAGTATTATGTACTGTACATAAATTGTATATGCTATACTTCTATGACTAGCAATGTAGTAGGATTGTTTATACCAGCATCACCTATGACAGCTACAGTCAGTAGGCAATAGGAATTTTTCAGCCCCATTATAATTTTAAAAGGGACCAGTTGTATATTGACTGAAACATTGTTATAGTTCATGACTGTACTCAATAAATTAAATAAGGACTTTATACTTCTTTTAAAAAATATTCTTTTCTTTAAAAAAATATTCCTTTCTTTTCCCTTCTCAAATTCACATTTGTACAGAAGGAAACTAACACTTATCAGTCAAGATTCACTTTTATTGTACATTACAAGTAAGGTATAACAAAACAATCTTTTTCCCCAAAAAGAATGAACTGTACTTCATTGTTGTTTAATAAGTTGGAAAATAAAAAATGTTTTAAAAAATATATTTTTAACCTGGACAGATAGCTCAGTTGGTTAGAGCTTTGTCCCCATATGCCAAGGTTGTGGGTTTGATCTCAGGTCAGGGCACGTACAAGAATCAACCGACTGAATGCATAAATAAGTGGAACAACAAATCAATGTTTCTCTCTTTCTCTTCCTCCCTCCCTTTTTCCTAGGTCTGTCTGTCTCTCTCGCTAAAATCAGTAAATTAGGGAAAAAAAATTCTCTCTTGTTTTTGTCCCTTCCCTGGCCCCCCTTGTTAAAAGTTAAACCACACCTTCAACTCTGACATTTCATATTTCCCCATCCTTACTCTTTGTTCTCATTCATTACAAGCTGACCTATTATATATTTTATTCATCCACAATGATTTTTTCCTTGCCTTTTGCACTGCTGCATCCCCATGCCTGCCATGTAGCATAGCAGATCTTCAGTAATACTTGTTGATGAATCCCTGCTTTATCACCATGTTTCCTCCACTTTCTTTGTTTCTGCTATTTTTTGTTTACAACTTAGAATGTGTGCCCTATAGAGACCAATGTCCCTGAAGTGAGGATACATCTTGGTATTATGAGGTCAGCTGCCAAATAGATTGGGCACCACTTATTGACTTATCTACCAGTAAGCAGTGTTCCTCACGCACTTGTGAAAGGAAGCTACTTTCATTTCTCCAAACCCTTAAGAACATCTGGGGGACCAAGGCCTAGAAAGGAAGGGGATGCTAATGACACTTCCTGTGCAGATGAAGGGATTATCACACCAACCCCTGTGTTTTCACTATATTGTTATGCATGGTGAGGATGCTGAGGCTTCCAGATTTAATTAGTCTTCTAATTTAATTGAAGACTCTTAGTCTAGATCAGTGGTCCTCAACGGGAGACAGTCCCCCCATTGGTATTGTCTGGAGACTTTTTTCCTGATACAACTTGTGGGAGTTGCTACTGGCTTTTGCTAAATAGAGGCCAGAGATGCTGCTCAACATCCTATAAGAACAGTTCAGTCCCCCTACCTCACCTCACGCCAAAGAATTATCCACCCTGAAATGCCAATATAAAACTCTGATCTAGATCCTGAAAACAGCTCATAATTAAATCTTGTTCGTTTGTTTCTCATGTAGAACACTAATAAGATCATAGCTATAATTTATTATGATAAATTTTAAAAGAAGACACAATATTAAATAACTTTATTAGTGGTGTTTATGTAGTAATGTGTCTAGAACAACATCAGGTTTATGTTTATTAATTACTAATACGTAAATATTTTTTAAGAATTATAGTTTTTAAAAGGATAAAAGAGCCAAATTTTAGATTAGAGATTAGATAACCTTGCCATTTGAATCTAAATTGGAGCCTGTAAATTTAAAAATGGGTTCCTTCAATAGTTAGGGCTTGTTTTCCCTCGCCTTGGAAAACACCCTAAGGCTTGGAAAACAATGGTTTATTCAATTCATACCAACCCTACCAGTCAAACAAATAAATTACAGAGAAACTTCAAATGTAAGTCTTTCCTCTTGTTCACTGCTTTTAAAATTGGCCTATTTCCTGCCATGCTAGACAGGACTCAAAATAACTTTCTTAGCAATTAAAGCTAATAGTTCTTTTTCCCTTAAGAGCTTTGATCCACAACATTTTCTACATAGTTAATTATTTTGATAAAACCCACTATTTGTCACTTCTTCATCATTAAACCTAAATGTTTAGAAAAGTTTCATGAGCTTGGAAAGACATTATTATTTGAATAATTTGAGTATATTTAAAGTACTCGAACCTATTTAATTTGCTTCTAAAGTAAAGCATTCTATGTGGAATGTTCAATTCTTAAGGTATAACGCTATAAATTTATAATGTATTAATATATAGCCAGCTATTGTTTTTCATAGTAAAATAAAAATAATTGAAATGTAGTGGGCATCCCCACCCTGGGCTAGATCCCCAGTAGGGGGCTTGCAGGAGGTAGCCAATCAGTGTTTCTCTTCTCATTGATGTTTCTCTCTGCCTTTCCCTTCCACTCTCTCTAAAGTAAATAAAAACAATTTTTTAAAAATGTAGTGCGCATCCCCAAACTTAAATTGCAATTAGCGTCTCTTTCATTCTTAATAATTACTTTGCTTAGTTGGAAGTTTTTGAATAACTAAATTGTTTTATTCTATTTACTGTCTGTAAAATTGGTTGTAATAGAGCCCATTTTATTATAGTCATCTAGATATCTCAAACTTAGCATGTCCAAAATTGCACTATCAATCCTTCTTCCAAAAAAAATGTCCCTACTATGTGCCAGTTGATGACAATTCCATCCTTTCAGTTGTTCAGGCCAAAGGTCTCAGAGTCAAGGATCCTTGACTCCTCACTTTTTCTCTCAGACCTCACATTTAATCTACCAGGAAATCTACTTTTAAAATATACCTGGAATCCAACTATTTCACTATCTCCTTCTAAGCACCATTATCTCTTGCCTGAATTTTCGAAATAACCTCCTGACTCTTCTGCCCACCTCCCATAAATTCCCAACACAGCAGCCAGAGTGAGGCCGTTGGAATTTATGTCATATGTCCCTCCTGTGGCCAGAACTCTGCAGCGACTTCTCATTTCACGCATTTCAAAATCTGTAGAAAGTTGTGTTATCAGGCCCTCCCTCTGATCTCAATACCTGCTCCTCTGTGCTTGCTCCTTTGGGTTCAGTCACATTGGTCTCCGTTGGTGTTCAGCTTTTGCTATATGTGATGGAATGCTTTTCCTCCACTCCCTCAACTTCATCAAGTCTTAGTCAAATCAGAATTTCTCAGAGAGGCCCACTTTGCACACCCTACTTAATACTGCAATCTGCTCTTTCCCCCCAATCCCTACACTCCTGATCCCTTCTATCTTATTCTTTTTTAAAAAAAAATATATTTTATTGATTTTTTACAGAGAGGAAGGGAGAGGGATAGAGAGTTAGAAACATCCATGAGAGAGAAACATCCATCAGCTGCCTCCTGCACACTCCCCACTGGGTATGTGCCCGCAACCAAGGTACATGCCCTTGACCAGAATCGAACCTGGGACCCTTGAGTCCGCAGGCCGACGCTCTATCCACTGAGCCAAACTGGTTAGGGCTATCTTATTCTTTTAACCTTCCCCCCTTTTCTCTTAGCACTTACCACCTTGTGATATATGGTTTACTTGCTATGGTTTTTTTTTGTTTTTCCTTTTGTTCATTGATATGGTCAAGTGCATAGAGCTTAATAGGAATAATATTTGTTGAGTTAATGAAAAAGTAAGCTTAACAACAACAACAACCTTGTACAGCCTGGGCAGGTAGCTCAGTTGGTTAGAACCGTGGTTGGCAAACTGCGGCTCACGAGCCACATGCAGCTCTTTGGCCCCTTGAGTGTGGCTCTTCCACAAGATACCACAAAACCACGTGCGGGCGCGCACGTACAGTGTGATTAAAACTTCGTGGCCCATGCGCAGAAGTTGGTATTTTGTGGAAGAGCCACACTCAAGGGGCCAAAGAGCTGCATGTGGCTCGTGAGCCGCAGTTTGCGAATATCATCCCATATGCCAAGGTTTTGGGTTTGATCTCTGGTCAGGGCACATAACTAGAATCAACCAATGAATACCTAAATAACTGGAACAAGTCGATGTTTCTCTCTCCTTCCCTCTGTTTCTCTTTGTCTCTCTCTCTCCCCTCTCCCCCCACCTCAAAGCAATAAATAAATGTTGTTTTTTTAAAATCCTGTACAGTATAGATGTGTAAGATTTCTCTAGGATATATATTTTTGAAATGTCGAGTTCTTAATGATTGTATTAATTATATTTCCTTTTAAAATGTATACTTTTCACATTTAGACCTCACATTGCTTCATATTCTCACTGACACTTGGTATTGTCACATTTAAAATTTTTGGTTAATTTGATGGGGTTGATGTGATATCGTATTGTGGTTTTAATTTGCATTTCCCTGATTAGCAGTGCATGGATAATCACAATTATGTAAATATCACACTTACTATTTCTCCTATTCACATCCTTTGGGCTTCAGGGGAAGTTAGCAGTAATTAATGACTCTTGAGTTTTAGTCATAATGAACTAGACGTGCTGATAGGACACCTAGGAGACATTCAGAAAACATTTCAAAATGTTTACACCCTTCGTAGTATAAAAGTAAGATCAGATAGGGTGAGAGAAAGAGAGGAGTCATTTTCTTTTTTAAAAAATTAAATTTATTGGGGTAACATTGCTCACTAGGATCAAAAGTATGCATTATTTTCCTCTAAGACAGTGTATTGTGACACTTCAGCCATTCATGTGCCATATGCTCTTTTAATAACAACTTTATTTTAAATCCTCACCCAAGGATGTTTTTATTGATTTTTTTTTTGAAGAGAGAGAGATATGGGGGGGGCGGGAGAGAGAGAGAGAGAGACATCTATGTGAGAAAGAAACACTAATCTCTCACCTCCCGTATGCCCCTGGGTGGGGAAACAAACCCATAACCTTTTAGTGTAGGGGACGACACTTCAACCCTCTGAGCCACCAGCCAGGGTGGCATTTGTGCTCTTTTATTTAATATGTGTATGTTTACTAATTTCCTGTACATTTGGATCATCTCCCTTGCTAAAGTAGATGCCTCCTCTGTGCTTCTAACATAACTGTGTATCCAATGCCCACCTTTATCCATATAATTAAACTGTCTCCACTCGAGACTATGAGCCCTGATGACTCAGTTAGTTCCTTCATGTGTTCCACAAATGTGCCACAAGCACTGTGCAGAGAGTTACTGGGAACGTAGTTGTGATCAAAACGGACAAAAACAGATCCAGAGACAGAGAAACATCGATCAGACCGTCAAACCTCGGAGGGAAGGTAGGGGAGGGTGGGGGTAAGGGGGAGAGATCAACCAAAGGACTTGTATGCATGCATATAAGCCTAGCCAAT